CCAAAGCGGACGTGTCTGGTAGTGATAGTGGTAGTGGGAGGTGGGCTGTGTGTGGGTTTGGGTGTATGTACTTCATAATTCATGGTTTCTAAACCTGACATTAACTTAAATTGCTCGGAAAACGCACAAGCGGACAGCAGCAAGTGGGTGGTGCGTCTGTGGGTGCGAGGTGGTGCTGCTGTTGCTGAACGGCATGTAATTTAAACCAAGTTTTAAATGGTTTACTACCTTGGCTAACTGTGCGTGTGAATATGTGTGTAATAGAGCGTCACTCAGCGCCCAGCTGGCTGCGTTCACAATGCGCCCCAGTTATATAATTTGTTGACGAGCCCAAAGCCCAAAAGCAGCAACAACAGAACCCAACACAAACCCTCGAATTCAAATCACGGCACACACAACAACAACAGCAAAAACAACAGCAACAGCAACAGCAACAATAACAACAACAACAATTCCGTCACGTGGCTTTATTTTTTAGTTAACTGTTAGTTGCCTTGACGTTCATCGATTGCGTCTGCAAGTCTGCATCATCTGCGAGCAAATTAATTCCCAGTTCTATAGCCCAGCACACAATGCTGTCAAAATATTGAATTCTTATATACCATATGTATATCTATGTGCGTATAATTTCGACAAATTATCAACGTCAGGCGAGCTGCCGGATGGGAAGCACACGCGGAGGTGCAAAAGTAGAAATAACAAGAAAAAATACAACAAAAATTAAGATATGTATAACTCTTTTTGGCAAGTCGAAAATTAGATGCCCTTTGCACATCTATATTAATAATCGTATCTAAATTAATATTAATAAAGTACTTAGTCTGTGAGTCAGGTAAAAATTCAAGAGTTTATATTGAATATATATATATTTATGGGGTTGAAAATATCGCCATTTATTTTTTCGTTTTGGTTTTGAAATATAGTTTTGCTATCTTCAGTTCAAGTGATTTTATTTTATGTACTAAGCAGGTGATCATGATTCGTATTTAGAAGGATATTCACAGCATCCGCTTAGTCAGCTGTGGAGTTTGAAAGTTTTTTAATGACTGAATTAAAATACCTTTAGGCAAAAGTGTATAATACAAAAAATTCGCGACGTTTGTTGTCATCGTCAAAATTGCCTCATCAACAGCTTCTTTGGGCGTTTTTAAATTCGCAGAAGCTAAAGGTAGTCCCAGCTGACAGCCCCTTTGCAGACAGAACCAGCGAGAGAGAGGCAGAGAGAGAGAGAGAGAGACAGAGACAGAGAGGGACAGTGAGAGAGAGAGTGAGAGAGAGTGAGAGCTACCCCGTTTTTTGTTTTTTTTTTTTATTATATTTGTTTGATGCCTCACCCATAACGACTGTAAATTTCCAATTTTATTTAACCGCCGTCACAGTGAAATACCAGAGAGAGAGGGTAGAGCTTATGGTCTTTTTATATGGACAGCATGAAAACAAAATAAGCTATAAAATTAATCGTCAACTTAGCTGCCGATTAAGTTTATACGACTCTCGTGGACAGCATCCATTTTGTGTGTTGTTGTGTTGTTTTGTGAATGCTTTCAACTCAAAGTAGTAACTAAAATCTAATCATCAATTTTGGCTGACAGTGTCTTTTCTCTATATATGGTTGGCTCTTAGGCGTTGCTTGAAATGAATTGGAAATCTCAACGAATTTGTATCAATTTGTTTTATGTCTTTTAAATGAACTTATTTACTTAAAACTTTATTTCATCTTTTGTGAGATGTTTTCGCTGAATCAATAATATATAGGTCCGGTTTAGAGTAGCAGGTTGCGATCTGATATTATTCATGATGTGATATGTTTGCCAGAGGTTACCATGTTTTCCATAACATTAAAGATTATGTCTTATTATGTTTTTTTGTAATAAATGGATCGTTTATAATTACTCATTAATATTTGTATATGTTTTCAAAATAGTTTGATACACATCTCATCAATGCTTTACAACTCATTTTACTCTTTTGTGAGCATCTGCTTTTCTCTGTGTGCATCCGATTAAGTAAAAGATATGCCCAATTTTACACCTTTTTTGCACGCAAAACTCGAAGAATAAATAATGTTGAATGGCTATAGATATGATCGCAGGCATGGGTTGGGTTGTGTTCACCTGGCAAAATGCCTTCTCCATTACGTAACACGCAACCGATTAGATCGAAACCATATGTGAGTGAGTGTAAGGAGCAGAGAGGAGAGGAGTATGGGGGATGGATGCTACAAATCAGCCATATAGATTTATGAGTACCCTTTTGTAATTGAATAATGGCAAAGTGAGTCAGCTCAGTTTCGTCTTAAGCACACCTTGAACTGAACGCTGTAAATTGATCTCTAATCAGTGTGCGAGGATCAAAAGGAGCGTACGAATCCTTTTCAAGCATCTCGGGTTTACCAAAAGGTGCCGAAACTAGCAAAAGGCTTAGGAATACAGAACCAGGACCCAAAGCACACACATGTCTCATGTCCCCTGTTCCCTGTCTATTGGTATCCAATGAATAGAACCGAATTAGTTATATAAATATGGCCAAGGCAAATGGAATACAAAGTGCATTGTGCAAATTAATTGCATTTTACGTTTGAAACTCGATCTTTTCTAGAATGCGTGCCGCCTACACAAAGGAAATGAAGCCAAAGGGAACCTGAAATTCTAAACTTGAGCAGCGAGAGGTAAGACTCCTCCTCCTCCCGTTTGTTGATATGCCATTAATTATCTACATTATGGCTTAATTAATAATATTTAACAAACAAATCTTCACGCTGTGAGAGCCAAGATTATAATAAAGCCAAAGAGTTTGCAAATATTTGAAAAATATTTACGATTTGCTTTTGTTTCTTTTGTTACAATCAGAAAGAGTTTTTCATATGCAAAACTCAGCTGTTAAGTAAATATTTTTTGCTTTTTCATGTAAACAACCAGTAAGTATTGAGCATCAGATATAATTTCAAGTGCCTAAAGTCGCAGACAACAAATTCTAAGCTACTGTGAAGAGGAGAAACTTGAGACTTGTTGATATGCCGTTAATTGTGAGCATTATTTGTGGTAATTAATAATATTTAATAAACAAGCAGCGCGCTTATCGCACACAAAACCAAATAATCAAATATGATGAGAGTGTGGAGTGGAGTGGAGTGGTTAACTATGAGCTGGATTGCCAGATTGCCAAATTGTCGGATTGGTCGCTTGTCAAAGGCCTCACACAGAGAGAGAGAGAGAGAGAGCGAGTGAGCAAAAGAGAGAGAAAGAGAGAGAGGAGAGGGGAGCTGGAGCAGCTACTGGATTAGGCACATGGTCATATCTACATCTGCCATCCGTCCAGCCACTGCACCGCAAAATGTCAGTCAGACAGACACGCAGACAGACGGACAGTTTGACAGACGGAATGTGCACACACAGAAGAACACGTTAAACAATATTCGAGATGAAGATAAGTTCAGCATCGTAGCCAGTTGTTGGACAGGCTGGTTTCTCCTCTGGGTCGGGGTCTGGGTCTTGGCCCGGGTGTTGACGTTTTCGTAGGCGGTGCCTTGAGTGCCGTTTAAACGCTCATAAAGCCGCCGTCGCAGCCACAACTTATCGACAGATTCCTATCGTCTTCTCTCTACTTCACCGTGTCTCTCTCTCTCTGTTTCTGTGTCTGTTTGCCGCACAGGCAGCGGGCTCTGTTGCAGTGCTTTTGAGTTTGAGCGTTTTTGCCGCAGGATCTGCGATAAATCACTTTGTACCTCAGCATCAGAATCAATAAAAATAAAACAAAGAATAACAACAAAAATAAGCAACTGAAGGTGCACAAATTGAAACGTTGATGTCTTCATCAACAATATGAGGCGGCATTTGATCTGAGCATTCGTTACACTCATGTAGGTCGGACCGCCATGTGTGTGTGCATCTGTTTGTGTGTGCGGTGTGGTGTGTGTGTGTGTATTTTTGTGGGTCCACAGTTAGTGGTCTCTTGGGTCAATTCTAGTTTGATTTATGTGCTTGGAACTTAAAACACTACTTATTGCTCATCAATTTGACACATAAGCGATGACCAACTGATGAATTTATTTTTGATTCTAATTTTGTGGTTATTTGAAGTTGAACTTGAATATTATTTCGCAGAATTTAAATTTGAATTCGCGCTCAATATCTTGGGGTCTTCGGCTATACTTGATGCTGGGTGACACTGTTTTTCATTGATCACACTTGTAAGCTCTGCTGATATACTTAAATCCTTGTTTAAATAATTTCCGATTGCTAGGCAGCACTTTCTGTTGATTCCTTTTGCTAGGCCTGTACCTTTATATATGTTGAACAGGTTAACATCCTGATGGCTTTTAATTTGATATAAGACAATTAAATGAATAATAGACATTAACAAACTTAATTTGCTCTTCATCTTCACTATTTGTATATTTATATGCAAGACTACTTTCAGCTTGGTTACAAATATTTCAAATTGAAATGCGCGGCCTGTCACAAAACTTAGTTTGGTAGCACTTGCTGCTCAGCACCACTGCATGATTGGCCACACTGTCCCTATCATATGTTTAGTATTTTTATATCGGCATTTTTTGTTGATTATCGTTCTTTTGACGCTCGGTCACTTTTGGTTTTGTTTTGTTGTCTTTAGTGTTTATTGTTTGAAAATAATGAAAAAAATATTTGTATTTAATCTAGTAATCTAAAAACCAAACTCACAGAAACATTTTTCGGTTTGTTTGCTTTGCTATATTAACAAAATTATTTGTGCACGTATTAATGTAAAAGGTGAGTCTAGCCTTGTGTGTCTGTCCGTGATTTACTCTAACTACAAAAAAAAGCGCCACGCCGGGTGCGCAAGGCCAGCAATCACAATAACAACAACAACAAACAGCAACAACAAAATTTACGCGGGCTGCAATCAAAGCATTTTGAAAAGGTGCAAGACTTATTTTTTTGGTAGTTTTTTGTGAGCATTTAGTTGGCCAACGCCCAGCGATCTTGATTCCATTGATACGAATACTAATTCAATAGTCGATTATCGAGACCAGCAGACGACGGATAGATAGAGAGAGAAAGATAGAGCGAGTGGGGGAAGGGGAAAGAGCGGGGCGTTGATCTTGGTGCTGTGCCATGTCGAAAATAGCAGCCATTGACAACATGCAACTGCAACTGCAACAGCAGCAGCAGCAGCAACAGCGGCACACATCCCCCAAAAATCGAGCAGAAGTAATATGGCGCGCATTAATCACATAATCGAAACAAATGCGAAAACAGAGAACAACAGTTTGCATTATCACTTTTTTCAATTCCAATTTCATCCCATTTGCAGTAGTCCAAATTAACTGTGGAATATATCCCCCCATATGGCTCAGATAACAACGGAAAAACGAACAACGGGAACAACGATGCGACCAATACATCATGCGACACCATCGGGCGCTTCGACAGTCATCGCTGCGAGTGCCTCAGCCTTGGCCACAAAGGAGAATTCGCGGCATCAGGCAACATCGCGTGGCGGCGGCAAGGGCATCGAGATCTTGGACTTTCACGAATCCTGGCTGGAGGAGGTCGAACTGTACAAGAGCAAGTTGGTCATGGGCAAGCAGCTGTCGCAGCACAATCATCAATCGTCCCATCAATCAGCCCACAACTATACCAATTCCAATTCCAATGGCCCCTCCAAGCGTTACTCCACGCAGATACGCAACTCCGCTGGACACTCAACCACACCAACACCAACATCAACAAGATCATCACAAAAAGCCAACCAACAACAACAACAGCAGAAATCTCCAACGTCGCCAAGACGCCAGAAGCATTCGGATGCTTCAGCTGCGAACATTGTCACCAATGGAACGCCTGCCGCGAAGACTGCCCCGCCACGTCTAACAACCAAATTAAACTCGGTGCCAGCGCCCGTTGTTGGCGTTCTCCAGTCGGAGCCATATAAAAAGGTTCAGGTGCGTATCCATTGGAAAAAACAAAATATGTAGCATCGACTCATATCCAATTATTAATGTTAATCAACTGATTTCAACTGATTTGTCTGCATTAATTTAAATCGAGGATTACTTTAAGCCAATTTCTCAAAATGTTGCATTTAATTAAAGTCTGTCTAATGTTGTCGCTCTAATTATTTAAACTACCAATTTCTGTTGAGCCAAAAAAAAGTGCTTGTTTATTGTTTGTGTTGAATATTAATATACTTTCCAGCTATTCCATTTGGATATTCCTTGAGCTTAAAAAAAGAAATCACTTGTTGATTGTTGATGTTGATTTTGATATACTTTCCAACTATGCCATCTTATAATTCCTCAAGTTTTAATTTATTCACAAATATCTATTCTAAAACGTACTGCTCCTTACATTAATTTGGGGCTGTTCAGAAATTGTTAATTCTGTTTTTGAATTTTCCCATTTTTGCCTGTTTACCTGCTAATAATGTCACCTGTTATCTAACTGTGTTACCTGTTTCATTGTATTGCTTGTTGTTTGCTTGTGCTTTTGGCTTTGGATGCTAACATGCAGATGCTTTTAAAGCGTGCACGTGAGGATGTGCTTGCCAAAAATGCCACGAATAGCAACGGCAATTGCTATAAGCGTCCCAGCATCAGCACGGCCGGCACAAGTCCACCTCGGAGTGGATTGGCACGCAGCCCGAGTGCGACAACGATTAAGGCGGCCAGCAAGATTGTTGTTAACCCGTTCCACGGCAGCAGCATGCTGAGTGGACAGCAGCACGATGAGAAGAGCAAGATACTAACACAAAATGGTCTAACCAAATCAGCAGCCACAGCCCTGGAGACATCGCTGTATGCCTCGCTGTACGCCCAGCCCACCCAACTGCCATTCCAATGCATGAGCACGCGTGTCGCCTCCGGTGAGCATAGTGGCAACAACTATATGGGCGTCTCCCTGAACAAGTCCGTCAATCATGATTGTCAACACAGCGACGATGATCCCTGCGGTGGTAAGTTATCTACATATATAAATCTATACCTTTATCAAAGATAATAATATGGCAATTCTTCCGACAGCTATTGACGAAATCACTAGCTATGATGACTCGGATTCGGATTCGGATTATGTTGGCACACCATTCTATCTGGATGAGGATAACGAAGAGACTAGCCAGAGTCGTCACATTCGCTTAAAACTGGATAAGGTGGCGTCAAAGACATCGGTGGCAACAACGAATACCACAGACACTGAAGCATCTGTGTACTTTAAGCCCGAGACAATATTGTCGCCCAGTCTGTTCCCGAATGTGCCACCATATTTGAATTTCACCTCGCATGCAGACAAGGGACCGCCAATGCCAGCCGTTCTGCACCGTGTGCTCAAATGGAAGCTCAGTCCAGTTATGCCAAAGATTGTGAAACGTGTTGTCCTCAATTCAGGATTTCGCATTATCAGAAGTGAGCAGATGCAAACCAATCCAATCTGCGCGTATATCATATTAATTAATCAATTGTTTTCCAAACAGATACCACTGACTGGATGGCCGTGTGGGAGAAGCATATGAAGAGTCCTGGCTTTCGTACGATACGCTCGCACCAGAAGTACAATCATATGCCCGGCTCATTTCGTATTGGACGCAAGGACACTATGTGGCGGAGTATTGCTAACAATATGAAGAAATTCGGAAAAAAGGATTTTGGCATTATGCAAAAGTCAGTTGCAATCCACACAAAAAGTACTCTTAATTTGATTTATGTATTTATGTTTTATTTGCAGATCTTACATAATGCCCGATGATTTGGAGGACCTGCGTCAGGTGTGGCCAAAGAATGCATCGAAGCTGACCAAATGGATTGTGAAGCCGCCGGCAAGTGCCCGCGGCACAGGAATTCGGATTGTGAACAAATGGAGCCAATTTCCCAAGGATCGGCCGTTGGTGGTGCAAAAGTATATCGAACGTCCGCTGCTTATCAATGATAATAAATTTGATATGCGTATTTATGTGTTGCTAACCTCCGTGAATCCGTTGCGCATCTACATGTTCAAGGATGGCCTTGCGCGATTCGCGTCGGTCAAATATAGCTCGGAGCTGGGCAATCTGGATGAGCGATGTATGCATCTGACCAACTATAGCATCAATAAGTTTTCACAAAACTATGCGAAGAACGAGGATTTCAATGCGTGCCAGGGACACAAGTGGACTCTGCAATCGCTGTGGTCCTGCTTGGAGAATCGTGGCGTCAACACCAAACGTCTGTGGGCCACGCTGCGCAATCTGGTCATCCGGGGCATTGTGAGCGGTGAATCGGGTCTGAATCGTATGTACCGACAGAATGTCAATTTCCGTTACAATTGTTATGAGCTCTTCGGCTTCGATGTGCTGCTCGACGAGAATCTAGTGCCTTGGCTGTTGGAGATCAACATATCGCCATCGCTACACTCCGAACTGCCTCTTGATTTGCATGTGAAGGGTCCACTGATCCAGGCCGTACTCAACACGGCCCTCTATCAGGTGCCGCCCAAGCTGAACGAGCGACAGCAGCAGGAGGTGCTTGACGAGCTGGAGATGCAGGGCCCGCTGGTCCATGATAAGCGCATCTTCACCACTTGCCTAACTGCGGAGGAGGTGCGCAAGCACAATCATTTCACCAGTCGTGCCATTGAGTATCGGGAGGAGTATGTGGATACCATACTGGATAATCTTCTGCCCGACGATGTCCGCTGCCTGATCCTGTCGGAGGATGAGCTGGCCCGCTGTAAGCCACTGGAGCGCATCTTTCCCACTCCGAACAGCCATACTTTTCTGCCCTACTTTGAGAATGCGCGCTACTACAATCGACTCCTAGATGCTTGGGAGACCAAGTACGCCAAGAATCGTGAGATGGGTATCGCATTATTGACGCGCTTTTGTCAGGATAAATATCATTTGCAGGTCTCCGAAGCAGCCATGGAAAAGGTAAGCATTCCCTACGTATTTTACACACTTCTATCAATTTAATTTTGATCATTTATTATTATTAATATTTTGTGTAATTTATTATTCACAGGAACCGAATGTGGCGCTCACAGAGATTGATATGCTGCATGTGAAAAAGGATGAAATTTTAGATAATCCAACTAACCTGCCGCCTATTAAAGCCGTAGAGACCAATGATGCTGCGTTGCTATCGGCCAGTGACTATATACCGAGAAGTCCAGAATCGGCAACAATTAACTAAAAACAAACAATATATCACAAATCTTAAGACTGACTGTAAAATTGAATTGAGCAACTTGGCGACAACATATCCACTTTCTGTTTGTTGTTTCATGTGAGTGCGACATGAGAGCAGTTTAAGCAATAACTCCAGTCTTATTTTAAATTCACGTTGAATTTCCCACAAAAAATAAAGTTCAAATATTTCTGGTTAATATTTTCTATATACATATATTTTCTATATATACAATTAAATATATTTAAATTTTTTGAATGCAACGGCAGCTTAGCAAATGGTGCATAAAAGTATCGATACTATTGACGGTTTATTAATATACCATTGTAAGTACAGGCAATAATTTAAGCAAGCAATCCAAATCGACGATGGTTAAGTCGTTAAAAATTATTGCCAGCATAATTATAAATTGCATAGTAATAAATGGTTCTCCGTAAATTTATATTCAACGTTTTTCTGACGATAATCGACGATTCTCGATATATCGGTTAACAATCGGCGTGATGATTGCACGCCGAGTGCCCATTGATGCATGGCCAGCGATGGTGCGACAACCCTAAATTATCGGCAAGGCAAACAATGAATGCACGACGTACGACGACGTTTCGTTCTAGAACGAAAACGCGAAATTGTTATTAAAAAGTGAACAGGCATCAAATTACGAGCAATAATCCGGTCACCACTACCAATGCAAACGTCAAGTGAACAACAAACGAGCAACAGCAACAAATTGCGCGTGAGAGTTAGATAGCTTCCTGAGTAGCGTCACGTAGACGGCAAAGCGACTTGCAAATCGATATTCACACTCACACATACACACACACACACGCATACGCATACACATACAAACACCCACCAGTACAAACATTATGGAAAACACATTAGAAGAAGGCGGCGGCGGTGGCGGAGCCGAGGAAAGTGCTGTCCATAGTGAAAATACACCGGTTACCATGTGCCAGGATAGCGAATGCATCACTAGCAACACACTCCCAGCGACGGCTGTTACAGCTGCAGCTGCGAAGCAAGCGGTAAGTATCGCAATCTGCCGCCCAATATTTTTTGCGCCTAATACTCATATTTTTCTTTGTTTTTCCCATCCATGCACACCTGCAGCCAATGATATGCAGCGAAGTTGCTGCCTCTTCATCGACATCGACATCAACAATCGCAAAGAGCAAGTCGCAATTGGAGAAAGAAGAAGAGGTCAGCACGTTGGCCACGGATCACCACAATAATAAAAACAACAACAATAACAACAGCAACAATAACAATAACGAAAGCAGCACTAAAACTATTCAGCAACAACAAGAACATGAAGAAGAAAAAGAGCAGCTGTCAGGCGATGGCAATGCAAATACCACAGTACCAACAACAACTAAAGCAATAACAGCAACAACAATAATAACAACGAATTGTGTCAAAGTGACGGAAGCAGTGACGGCGACGACGACGACGGCGTCAACTGCGTCCACCGAAACAGCAGACAGCAAGAAAACGGGTAAGGCTGAAAAATGCCAAAAGCTCTTTCATTTTTACCTTCTGTTTGTTTCTCTTTGTGTTTGTTGTACTTGATGCACGAACCAATTCTTTTCTATCTTGTTTTTCTTTTGTTTCTTTTAGCAGAGCGCAATCACAAGAAGAAGAAAAAAGATAAGGAACGTGAGCGAGATGAAGATAAGCGACACAACAACAACAATAATAGCAGCAACAGTGGCAAGGATCGCGAAAGCAACAGCCTCAAAAACAATAGTGGCAGCACTGGCAGTGGCAGCACTGGCACCAGCGGCGCCAGCAAATCCTATTCAAATCGACATAGCAACAGCAGCGATTACAAGTCAAGTTCCAGTTCCTCAACCTCGACCAGCTCGCGCAGCAAAGACAAAAAGCAGCATCGCAGCGACCGCGACAGAGAAAGAGAGCGGGAAAGAGAAAAGGTAAGTGAATTGAAAAAAGAGAGAAAAGCGTTGAACAAATACTTAACTTATTGCAAGCCAATGTCAACATTAAAATAACAAACAGTTTTCGCAACTTTTAATTAAATATTTACTGACTTATTGCCTAATTTTTGCTCGAATATTAATTCATAATTAATTAATCGATTTGACATAATAATATTATATTACAACAATTAAATGAAAATTAAATCTATAATAATAGTCTTGCCATAATTATGACAGAAAGTAATTATTTCCTTTGTGTTTATTCGAAGACTTACAAATAAATACATGACTCGTCAATGAAATGCCAGCTTCTAGTTACTCAATACAAACATTTGCTCAACTTCTTAAAGTAGTGTTTGCTCAACAATTAGTAATGAGAATATTTCAAACATTTTACAATAGATACCATCGTCATCGTCCAGCTGCTCATCGAATTCGCATCGCCGTCGCAGCTCGGACAGCAGTCGCAGCAGCAGCAACACAAGTTCCAGCAAGCTGAATGTGATCAAAGAGGAGGAGAAGGAGAAAGACAAGGAGATGGGAATCAAAACGGAGGCGAGTGAGCAGAAAGAGGCACCGTCTGGTGCATTAACGGTACTTAACCACAACAGCAGCAAAGATATCAAATCGGAAGCAGACATCAAAAAGGAACCAATCGAAACGAAGCCACTGCTAAATGGCGATGCAATCAAACCATTGATTAAGACACGCGACGAAGTCACGCGACAGCTGAACTTCGCTGCGGCTTCAGATGCGGCAAAGATAAAGGAGAACAACACCAACAGCAGCAATAATTCCTCTTCCCTTTTAATGCCTTCGCCTGCACCCAAAACAATCAATAACAGCAGCAGCAGTAGCAACAGCAGCAGCGGCAATCATCATTCCTCATCCAGTTGCAGTGCGCGTAAAACCTCCTCCTCCTCCTCAAGTTCCTCCGCCAGCAGCAGTCATCACAAGACTTCCTCCTCCACCTCATCCTCCTCCTCGTCACGCCATTCGTCATCCTTTTCCTCATCGCGTGATTGTTCCAAATGTTACAAGCGCTCCAAAATACGTCGGAGCAGCGTTGGAGTTCAGAGCATTCAGCATGCGCCCATTGCTGGCGCCTGGACAACGGTTCCCAGTTTGGCGAAGCCAGCGTCAGATCGCAAAGAGACGCTCACCGGCCTCGAAAATCTGAAATACGGTCGTTACTTTCAAGTGGAACAGTATCCGAATGGTGGCGCATCCGTAGTGCATCTTTATCAGCACGATATAGATGCACTGCCGCCGGATGAAATGGAACAACTTGTCGATGAGTTCTTCAGCGTATGCTTTGCCGAGGATGAGCAAGGCTATGCACATCATGTGATGGGCATCGTTCATGACGCAGCCCGCTATATACCCGATCTTCTCGAGCATATGGCCGAGAATTATTCAACGCTCACAGTGAAGGCTGGAGTGCTCGGACGCAACTCGGACATTGATACGTGCACCATGGCACAGTACAATGAACAGGTGAGATTGAATAGAATTTGTAATGCAATCGGTAAAATGATAGTTTTATCATGTTTTTATTATGCTCATTAAATTGATTAATTATTTACCGAGCATTATATAAAAACATGTAAAAAAAAAGCATGGAAATTATTTGTGACTAATATTGACATGATAATTGAATCTTGCTTTGCTTTGCAGGTGGTGCGTAATTATTGCCAGGGCACATTCCGCTATGGACCGCTGCACCAGATCAGCTTGGTGGGAAAAGTGCACGAGGAAGTCGGCGGTTATTTTCCGGATCTGCTTGGACGCATCGAACAGAATCCATTTCTGCGCAAGGCAAGTCCTCATCTCCAAACACACCTTAATAACTACTCGAACTAACTGAAATTAAACCAATTCTCCTTTAGACAATGCCCTGGGCTGTTAATTCAATACTACAAACGGATCCACGACAATCAAACGATGGACCAATTCTGTGGATACGTGCCGGTGAGCAGCTGGTGCCCACAGCGGAGCTCAACAGCAAGACGCCACTCAAGCGACAGCGGTAGGTGCATATTTTGCTAGATTCCCAATTAACTATCTACAACAATCATTTCTTAATCTCTAAAAATGTACAAATCTTTCTCTATATAAATTTTTTAATTAATGTTTAAAATACTGAATTAAATATATTTGATGGCTATCATAAATATATAATAGAAATGAATAGCTAAGTTTGATTAGTACAGAAAATATCATGAAACCATGAAAAATAAAAATAACTACTTTTATCATAAAATAATTTACAAACTAAATATAAATAATATTTTGGTGAACTTTTAATTAATGATTGCATACATTTTACTTTGCAGCACTCGCATTAATGAGCTGCGCAATTTGCAGTATCTCCCGCGTCTGTCGGAGGCACGCGAAACGATGATCGAAGATCGGACCAAGGCGCATGCCGACCATGTGGGCCATGGACACGAACGCATCACCACCGCCGCAGTTGGTGAGCTATAATGCATCTTAAATGCTTTTTATTTAATACGTCGAACACACTTTTCATCAAAGTATTTTTGTTTTATATGCTACGCATAGTATTTTCTTCAGATTAGTTTTTCTCTACTCTACTTCATTGGTTCTCTTCTACTACATGTTATCCATTTCTTCTCGAATGTGAACATTTCTAAATTGCAATGAATGCAGTGAATCTTTCTTTTTATTTTATTTTCCATTTTCTATTGCTTATTTCTTCAAATCCTTCATTTATTTGCTTCAAATTTCTCACCACTTGCGCATTATTTGTTTATAATCATTGTCTGATTATGTCTTTTGTAGGTATTTTAAAGGCTGTGCACTGTGGACAATCCTATGATCAGAATCGTATCACCAAGGATGTGGTTGCCTTTGCCGCTCAGGACTTTAATACGCTGGTGGAGATGCTGCAATTGGATCTCCATGAGCCACCCATCTCACAGTGCGTGCAGTGGATTGAGGATGCCAAGTTGAATCAGTTGCGACGCGATGGCATTCGCTATGCTCGCATCCAGCTGTGCGACAACGATATCTATTTTCTGCCGCGCAACATCATTCACCAGTTCCGCACCGTGACCGCTGTGACGAGCATAGGTGAGTGAAGGGGGATACCTTTTAACAGACTGGATCTCGGAATGAATTGCCTATTATTTGTTTATTTTTAAGCTTGGCATCTGCGTTTGCGCCAGTATTATCCCGGCCAGGAGGTAATCAATGAGAAGAACAATCCCGTGTTGGCTGAGACACCGCACTACAAGGAGAAACAAACCATATTGCCCAATCCGATTGGTCACGATGAACCGGCCAAGAAGACACCCTCGAAGCGCACACACGATGGCAAGCCGAAGCGTAAGATCATCGATTTGGATGGCAAGGAGCGTCGATCCAGTGAGAGCAGCCAGGACGATCATTCGTCATCGGCGGGCGCATCGCCCAAGAGCAATAACGGTAGCGGCAGCAGCAACAGCAGCGGCACACCCAGAAAGAAACCGAACAAAGATGACGCCAAAATCGATATGCGCAAAATGGTTCTCGAGCACAACAAATATAAGCTGACCAAGGCGGCAGCGGCCACGGACACGGCCACAGCGCTCGACAAGGATCGTAAGCCAGTCGTCGTCAAAAAGGACAACAACGAAAAGTCCACTCGTGATAAAGATAAAGACAAAGATAAGGATAAGGAAAAGGAGCGCATCATCAAAAAAGAGACGAAATCGGAGCATTCAGCAACGCCAGTGAAAATGCCGCGACTGGCGGCTAACGAAGCCAGCATATCAACTAATGTGTCAACTAATCCTAACCCTAATCCTGTTCCAATTGCCGCAGTGCCATTGTTGCCACTGCTGCCCCTCGTGCATCCGAAGCCCTTCATGCATCGCGATGCGTATGTGAATAGCTTGAATCAAAAGGAGCCCGAAATCAAAATCCAACTTAAGATGGTATCCGATGAACCCAGCAAAACGGAAGCCATCGCCACCAATTGCATGGCAAACCCGAAATCCCCTTTCGAAACAATTGTGCCCGATCCCGTTGAGGATGTGGGCAATGAGCTTATTGTGGAGAGCACGCCACAGCTGGTGGTGGATCATGAGGAGGAGGTTATCGAGCTGTGCGAGGAAGTGATTCCATTAGATATACCAGTGCCAGCTCAAACAGCTCCACCAGCTCCTGCTCAAACTCCCGCTCTCACACCCACAGTTACAGCCACACCCATACCCTTGCCAATGATGCGCATCACACAGCCACCATTACCCGGAACGACTGCTGCTTCTACAGTTGCGCCAGCAGCATCAGCACCACCACAGGTTGTGAAAGTCGTTTTGCCCGGTGTGGTGGGTCGCTTGTCCGCTGTGGTGCTGACGCCACCATTGCCGCCGATGCCATTGCCACCACCGCCGCCACCGCCACCACCACTACCAACAGCTGGAGCTGGAGCGGCAGCAACCATACCGACGACAGTGATCAGATCCGGCAGCAATCCGAAAACAATGACAACGACAACCACCTACAAAACGTTCAATTTGCCCACGCACAAGATTATACTCGCCGGCAGCAGAGCAGTTGCAAAGACAGCAACTGTAACCCCAGTCGATCTGCTTGGCTCCATCATGGCCAGCATGGACAATAAGAACAGTATCAGCACCAACAACACCAGCAGCTCGAGCAGCGCTTCCACAACAGCAGTCACAGCTGCAACAACAGTGCCTTCCAGCATCAGCAGCAACAGCAGCAGCACGACAACCAGCACAACAAACAATAACGCTTCGCTGTCTTCCTATGCCGCCAACTCGTCCTCCACTAACAACAGCTACTGATGAGTCAGCAACGGCAGCCACAGCAAAGAGGCTTCTCCAATCCAATCATTATTGCAAAATTGTTGCAACTTGTTTTTTTGTAAATTGTGTTTTCGATGCGGCAACTCTGAAAGCTGTGCAACGCTTTAGCGTCTAACGCAAGCGAGCCCTCTTTCGAGTTGGTCCCCCAACAAATCGTTTATTGTACATAAAAAAAGGGGTGGTGTCTTCGTTCTCACGTTCGCCACCCCTGAAACATATATATTATATTTGATAACAGTAGTGAATTAAGCTCAAAAATGCTAATTACTTTTTAGTCATGTAGTTTTTTAATTTATTATCGCATGCACTTTAAGATACACACAAACACATTGGCAACTGATAGACAAAAGTTTGATATGCGTATATATATGTATATATATATATATATATATTTATATACATATATATGTATATATATTTAGATCGGTATAATAAAGTAATGTGCGCGCACATTGGCAGAGTATTTTTTTACGTGTCAACTAAAGTGCAAAGGGCGCCCAATTTATTGGCTTATTTTTTGTGTTTTACCTAACGACATTTTAGAAGTGTTTTGCACACACACACACACACACACACACATATATATATATATATGTATATCAATAATTATGATATATTCATATATATATACATATATATATTTATATATATATACAACACATATAATTGTAGTTTTAAAGCCAATGCACGTTGATGAAACAATAAAGATTCGGATCGTACAAGAATTACACATTTATAATCGTTTATTGTGAGTTTTCAACTTTATGTCTACGAATATAAAAAGAAACAAATATTTTAATAGCTACAAGTAATACAATATCATACATATATTTATATATATATAAGTCCATTTAGACAACGGTTTTAAAAACAGCCCAAACCGGAAATAATTGCAAAATGCCAAGGGAATGCTTAAGGGATTTAGAGTTTGGAGCGCAGCTCCTCTATGCGACCCTGCGCTGAGCGCTGAAGATCCATCAGTTTCATGGCGAAGCCCATGTTGCCCTGGATCTTAATCTTGCCCTGGAAGAAGGCCTTCTGCGGCGGCAGCTTGCCCGTCAGCAGCTCAAACACATCATCGTCGCTGATTATAAAGGTAACATCACATTTTTCTGCGCAGATAAAACGATTAGTTAATTATTTGATATTAGATTTTAGGTAAGAAAACTCCACTTACGTGTGCCATTGAAGGTAATCTTGCCCCTGCCCTGCTTGGCATCGATCACCCAGAAGCCAGTCTTTCCCTGGGGACCATTGCTCACCTTGAAGCCGTACACGGCGCGCACCTTTTCAATCAGATTATCCTTGTCCTCCTGCATGGCCTGCTCGAGCAGCCTCAGCAGCGCCGACACCTTGAAGCCCTCCTCACTAGTAGCCATTTGTACGGCCGCAGTTAAATTGTGTTTGATTCCGCTGGATGCCGGAAAACCCAACCGATAGAGTCCAACCACGACGGCACCACCCAATCCCAAATTGTGCTGCAGAGCCAACTTGACACCATTCACTTGCCGCTTCTCGGCCAGGCCACGCAGCTGCCAGCACAGCTCAGCACACTGAGCCAAGCCAGTGGCACCAAGTGGATGACCCTTGGAGATGAGGCCTCCGCTGGGATTGATTACAAATTTACCGCCATAAGTATTATCTCCACGATCGATGAACTCGCCAGCCTTGCCCTCGCCACAGAGACCCAAAGCTTCGTAGGTGACTAGTTCGTTGGCCGAGAAGCAGTCGTGCAGCTCCACGACCTGCACATCCTGTGGTTTGTATCCGCTCTTAGCGAACAGACGCTGCGCAGCCAGACGGGTCATATCATAGCCTGCAATCTTTATCAGGCTCTTATCAGCGAAGGTGGATTCTGGATCACTGGCCATTTCCATGCCGACAATTTCCACAGCCTGCTTCTCCAGTCCATGACGACGCACAAACTGTTCAGAGGCCAGAATGGCAGCACCAGAGCCATCCGATGTGGGGCAGCATTGCAGCTTCGTTAGCACTCCCTCGACCACCTGCGGCGACTTCATAATCTGCTCCAGCGTGTATTCATCACGAAATTGTGAGTAGCTAAACAACACAATAAAAAATATTAGATTAGTAAGTGCAAAACATTTGCACTTTAAGATCGTTAGTACTTACGGATTGTTGACCGAGTGCTTGTGGTTCTTCCAAGCAATCTTGCCAAAGTGTTCCGGTTTTGTGCCATACTTCTTCATGTGCTCCTTGCCAGCATTGCCAAAGATCTGAGCTGCCATTGGCCCAGCCCCAATTTCAGTCAGTTCGCCCATTTCAGTGATATGTCGCTCCATAGGGTTAGCCCGGTCAAAGTACTATCAATAAAAAATAAGTATTAAGTATACGTATTATCAGTTCAGGGCAAGTTCAACTATAAAGTCGTTGACATACTTTCGCGGCCAACGAGCCACGTTCCATTTTCTCGAAGCCCAAGGCAAGGACACAGTCCGCGCTGCCCGATTCGATGATCTGCTTGCCCAGGTACAAGGCACTCGATCCAGTGGAGCAGTTGTTGTTCACATTGTAGACTGGGATGCCAGTCATGCCCACTTCGTAGATTGCTCGCTGGCCACTTGTGGAGTCACCATAGACATATCCGCAGACAGCCTGTTGCACATCGGAATATTGCAGCTTGGCATCCTGTAGAGCCTTTGTAACGGCCTCCTTGGCAAAGTCCGGATAGCAAACATCGGCACGGCGACCAGGTTTCTCAAACTACATGCGATAAGATGTGAAAAGTATAAATCCTAAATACTAATATGACTTATATATAGCAAGAACAGCATTTAATCGATCCACTTTAGTTTGTGGCTTAAGATTAGGCAGCCACTTAGATTAGCAATTAAGATTTCTCCATTGACCGAAGTGCACCGCAGTTCAAAGTCCGAGTGCGATAATTATTATGTTGTTTTGTTGATTGAGAGTGAGGAGGGAGGAGGAGTATTAAGCAACTTGCTGTTGCAGCTTCCTCAAGAGCTGCGCTTTTTCTTTGTGGCAACAGCTTTTTGCTGTGTGGTTGTTGTTTGTGTTTACCTTGGTCATGCCAACACCAACAACATAGACTCGAGTTTTGGTCATTTTGTGGCTAAAGATTCAAATCTCTTGTGGAAATTGCAAATACAAGTACAACCGCTTCGACTCGGCTATAATCAATAACTAAACTTTAATTATTAAAACTGGAAAACAAAAAAGTAAGACGGAGCTAAAAAAATCGATGTTTATATCGATACAATAACTATCGATGGATTTTAAAAGTCCTAAACTCTGATAAGAATTATTGGTATTTGTAACAGTCAATAATATCAAGAGGTATTTTTTTATTTATAATAAACGATTGTAAATAATAAAAACTAGATTTTTTTAGCGGATTTTAAACGACACTAATATATATTTTACAAATTAAAATACGACTGCAATTTTGAAGCCAGTATGATTAAAAGTTGTGTGACCAGCTTATTCGTAAATGAAAAATACCAAAAATTCAGAACACAGCGCTGCTCATATGAACTGGATTACCAGCCACAGAGGTGATCTTGCGCGCACCTCGTCAGTCCCGAGAACACTTCTCTTTTAGACGCTGACCACAACAGAAGTACCACAAGAGATGTTTAAGACAAGAGTTTATGTTATCGGCGTTGGCATGACCAAGGTACGAAATGTGAAAGTGACCTTTGAAATTGTCTGCAAATTTTAAATATTTACTTAGTTCGAGAAACCTGGTCGCCGTGCCGATGTTTGTTATCCGGACTTTGCCAAGGAGGCCGTTACAAAGGCTCTGCAGGATGCCAAGCTGCAATATTCCGATGTGCAACAGGCTGTCTGCGGATATGTCTATGGTGACTCCACAAGTGGCCAGCGAGCACTCTACGAAGTGGGCATGACTGGCATCCCAGTCTACAATGTGAACAACAACTGCTCCACGGGATCGAGTGCCTTGTACCTGGGCAAGCAGATCATCGAATCGGGCAGCGCGGACTGTGTCCTTGCCTTGGGCTTCGAGAAAATGGAACGTGGCTCGTTGGCCGCGAAGGTATGTTAACGACTTTATATTTGAACTTGCCCTGAACTGATAATACGTATACTTAATACTTATTTTTTATTGATAGTACTTTGACCGGGCTAACCCTATGGAGCGACATATCACTGAAATGGGCGAACTGACTGAAATTGGGGCTGGGCCAATGGCAGCTCAGATCTTTGGCAATGCTGGCAAGGAGCACATGAAGAAGTATGGCACAAAACCGGAACACTTTGGCAAGATTGCTTGGAAGAACCACAAGCATTCTGTTAATAATCCGTAAGTTATAAGCAACGTAAATGTAACAAAGACCAGTCGAAAGTTCGTTCGCATAAGAGACACTCTTATCTAATCGCTTATCGTTATTCCGCTGTACTTTGTAATCGCCATACTCCACATGCTCTTCTCTTCATCTGAGGCTTGCTCTTTGTTCTAGGTACTCACAGTTCCGGGATGAATACACGCTGGAGCAGATTATGAAGTCGCCGCAGGTGGTCGAGGGAGTGCTGACGAAGCTGCAATGCTGCCCTACCTCTGATGGCTCTGGTGCTGCAATTCTGGCCTCTGAACAGTTTGTGCGTCGTCATGGACTGGAGAAGCAGGCTGTGGAGATTGTCGGCATGGAAATGGCCAGTGATCCAGAATCCACCTTCGCTGATAAGAGCTTGATAAAGATTGCTGGCTATGATATGACCCGTCTGGCTACGGAACGCCTGTTCGCTAAGAGCGGATACAAACCACAGGATGTGCAGGTCGTGGAGCTGCACGACTGCTTCTCGGCCAACGAACTAGTCACCTACGAAGCCTTGGGTCTCTGTGGCGAGGGCAAGGCTGGCGAGTTCATCGATCGCGGTGATAACACATACGGTGGTAAATTTGTGGTCAATCCCAGCGGAGGCCTCATCTCCAAGGGTCATCCGCTTGGTGCCACTGGCTTGGCTCAATGTGCTGAGCTGTGCTGGCAGCTGCGTGGCCTGGCCGAGAAGCGGCAAGTGAATGGTGTCAAGTTGGCTCTGCAGCACAATTTGGGATTGGGTGGTGCCGTCGTGGTTGGTCTCTATCGGTTGGGTTTCCCGGGAGCTACAAAAGCGAAGTTGTAAATAGTTTACTCATTTTGTAAATAAATCACATTGAATTTTTATAAATTTAAAGTGTACGCCGAATCAGCTCATTGAGAAATTCTTTTGTTGCAGCCTGGATTACGATTGGCAATGGTCCTTGAATGCAGTTCGATAGAGTTCGTGTCCTTTACAAGTCTGCAAAGATTTGGCCAAGCTTGAACTTTTTGCGCTTTCGCTGCTTTGCCCCTAAAATTATGCATGAAATTTTTAACGTGTACATAATTTAGCAAGTACCTCAACCTAAGTTGTGCCACTGCTGTGTGCAGATGTTATCCTATACAGCAACCGCAAAAGAAACAACGATGTAGAATAACCACATTTCCTTAATTTGTAGCTTGGTGTTTGTTGTTGCACAATTTGTATAATTGTTAAAGACTAGTTTATTATTGTATAATTATCTAGATATTGTGTTATTTATAATATTTCTTAAACTGATTTATTGATAAACTGGAAAACATATTTATATGCAATTATTTTCTTTATCTTCTACACTAAAGCCGCTTGTGTTTTTGCTGTTGGCGTTTATTTTTGCAGCACAAGCGCCAGACTCCAATCACACTAGCAGTGATCACAAGGAGAGTGATACCGACTACCATATAGACGTCCAGGGAGTAGTAGACAAAGCGATTTAGATGCACTGCACTGGATTGCAGCAGAGGAGCACCTCGAGTCTCGGCCACATGCTCCACCCACCACAAGGCGGTTTCCAATGGCAGTTGGGGGCGTTCATTGTAGGCAGCTGCAATCTTCGCAGCATTCTGCTTGTATGACGGATCCAGCGCCTGGGAAAGTGCTTCAAAGATCGACTGTTCACTCAAACTTTGAAAGTCGAGCTGCACTGCCATCTGACGTTGCACTAGGGCAGCCACATTGAGGAATTGATCGCCCAGGACGGGCATGCCCACAATTGGAACTCCACTGGACACCGCCTCCGTCAGTCCCATCAATCCGCCGTGTGTGAAAAAGACCCTAACATTGGGATGACTGAGTATATCGCGTTGTGGCAACCACTTCATGATGTGAACATTTGCGGGCTGATTTTTCAGCGTCTCGTTCTCCCACTTCCAGATGATCTGCTGGGGCAGACGAGCAACTGCACGGAGCAATGCTGCCCGCTTGGTGCTCGAGAGCGAGATGGCCTTCAGCAGGGAACCCCAACTAATGAGTATGACGCCATGCTCAGAGGCGTTGTCCAGCAACTGCTGCAGGTCATCGCTCAGCGCTTGCTCTTTTTTCATGTGTATCCCACCCACTTCGATGACGTTTGGCGGCAGCGGCTTTGATCCGCTCAGCGAGAAGTGCTGATTTAGCAGCATTAGCGAGGTGCGCTTCACCAGTTCGCCAGTGGATGGTAGACCAGCTCCGAATCTTTGACGCAGCAGGTCATCAGCAGCAGGCACACTGAACCAGCTGCAAGCGGAAATGGAAAGGTTATTGGAGCTGAGTGAAGTCACCTTCGTCTACTTACTTATAGAGCCAATTAAGCGTATGTGTGGTTATCCAATTGTTTAGGCGACCCGCAAAATTCATGTCCTGTGAATGGCCCAAGAACAGGGCCGAGATGTAGGAGGGTATTATGGGGGCACCCATGCGCTCATAGTGCCAGGGCATCAGGGCACAGCTGCTCATGGCTACAACAGGCGCTTGCAGCTGATGTGCCACGCCCATCATGCAATCCGTATTGAATTGCTCCAGTATGATGATGTCATAGTAACCAGCAGGATGTTGCAGTACTTGCGCAAGTGCATCGGAGTTGAGCGTACTTTGACAGGCAACCTTACCATACTCGCTTAGAATAAAGAACTCTATGTAAGGTTGTAGAAATGTCAGACTATTTTCCTCGAACATCTGCGGAAATAGTCAGCAATAATAAATATGAAAGATAGATCAAATATAATACTCACATCCAAACCGAGTTGATTGCCCAAACTGACGCTGGGCAGCACGTAATCCTTGTAGCCGGATGGGGATTGCTTATCCGGAAAGGGACTGACAACATCGACACTGTGACCCGATTGGGCCAATTGACGCATCAGCGGATGAAAGAACTGAAAATGACTTGGGGCGGGATGCGGAAAGAGACCCAAGATTTTTAGTTGGCCACTGCTCACCGAAAACAGTGAAATCAGCAGAATCAATTTCGTAATACAATTTTCACTCATTGCAAAACTATGAAAATGATGCTAAATTGTTTCAATTATACTTATATAGACTATGTATCTATAATTAACACTCAAATGTAGAAACTTCCGTTCACAGCGAGCAGCGTTCAACAACTGAGAAATTTTCAAAAATATATTACAGATTAATATATATAAATATAGTATCAAGGAGAGCGTGTCTAAAACAATTTTGTGCGCCAAAAAATGCTCTGCTTTTTAAAGGGGCCAATTTTGAGGTCTCACTTTGGTGAGAAATGCTTTTGAGTTTCAGATTAGATTATAATTTTGACCTAATCTTAACTTATCAATTCTTTAATTGATAAGAAATATACGATTAAGCAAACACATTTTTAGTTTAAACATTACAAACAAAAAATAAATAAATAATAATCGCAAATAGAAATAATAATCGCAACACATTTTAAACTACACTGTGTATATTTAGGAGACGGAGTCACTAGTCTAAGAGGACACCTACAGACGTACACATACAAAATATCACATAGACTAAACGAGAATCAGATAAGTTAATCCTTCTTGGTCTTACGATCCGGTCTTTTGCCACAGCAGGAACGGATTAAAATAATCCAACTGCCAATAACAATGCCCAGAATGAGACCCAAGGCGAGGTAGCAGTCCAGTGAGTAGTAGACGAAACGTGACATCTCCACTGAACTGGGCTTCAGCAGGGGATTGCCATTGGTATGAGCCACATGCTCCACCCACCACAGGGCCTTCCGCATGGACTCTAAGGGTCGATGGTTGAAGGAGTGCGAAACTAACTTGGCAGCCTGCATATGTCTGTAAGACAATGGAAAAATCGTTGATTATTAAGTTATGGTGAATGGACATGAAGGGTACTCACTTGGGGTCCAGGGCACGCCTTATTGCCCTCATAACGGTATTCTCGTTAATGTCCTCGTAGTGGAGCAGCACACCCATACGACGTTGCACCAACGCGGCCGCATTGAGGAACTGATCGCCATACATGGGCGTTGCCACAACGGGCACACCACAATATGCCGCTTCGGTGGAGCCCATTAGACCCGCATGCGTCATGAACACCTTCACATTGGGATGACAGAGTATATCGCGTTGTGGCAGCCACTCCATGACATGCATATTGGGTGGCTTGTTGGGCAGCGTCTCGTTCTCCCACTTCCAGATGACCTGCTGCCTCAGTCGGGTAGCGGCGCGCACGATGCCATCCCGCTTGTCCGCCGACAGGGAATTGGCGCGTATCATGGAACCCCAACTGATGACGATCACTCCGTGCTCGGCATTGTCCAGCAACCGTTGCAGTTCGTCACTCAACGGCTTGGCCTTCTGTATGTGCAGCCCACCCAGCTCAATAACGTTGGGCGGCAGTGGCTTGGGGCCGCTCAGCGCATAGTGTTGATTCACAAAGAAAACGGACGTATTCTTCGCCAGCTTACCCACCGAGGGTGTCTCGTGCCCGAATTTGTACTGCACCAGTGCATCAGCGGCGGGTATGGAAAACATCCTAAAAAAAGTCAGAAGAAACAGCTTGTGAATAAGGCCTAATATTTCTATCTCAATGAATGTTTAAATGAAGATCTTAAAAGTTGAAAGTAATATTAGTATTCATAATAGTTTTTCGTTTAATCGAACGTATATCTATGCGAATAGCCTAATATTTAATATTCACGAATGCATGAAAGAAGTACTTCAAAGTTGCACTTAAAATGCAAACTAGTTTTTCAGAGAGTCAAGTTGAAAATATCTATTCACTTACTTGTACATCAAGTTGAAGGAGTGAAATGTGATCCAATTGGCGAAGCGACCGACAAAGTTCATGTCCTGCGACTGGCCCAAAAACAAGCAGGGTATATATGAGGGTATTATGGGTACGCCCATATTCTCGAAATACCAGGGCATCATGGCGGAGCTGCTCAGGGCAATGACTGGCGCCTGGAGCTGATGTGCGACGCCCATCATACAATCCGAGTTGAACTGTTCCACGATGATGACGTCATAGTAGCCAGCCCTGCGCCTCAGCACCTCATGCAAAGCATCTGAGCGCAGCGTCAAGTTGCAAGCCTGCTTGCCCCACTCGTACAGCATGAAAAACTCAAAATAAAGAGTGTAGAAAGCGCGATTGTCAAACATCTATGCAGAAGCAGAGAAAGAGAGAGAAAAGGTTAATTTACTTTCGCTTCCGTTAATTGTTTAATTGTTTTATGATGAATTGCAAAATTTTGAATTAGAGATTAAACTCGACGAGGAAATACTCTAATTACAATTGTTTAATTTGGCTGCAACAGATTTGTTTTTAATGAACGAATAAATATAATTTCTGTAAGATACATTTTTTTGTATCAGCTGAAAAATAAATATTTTTTAAATTTAGTAATTTCTATGAATGAGTTTTCGTATAGAGATCATGTTTCAATGCCAAAGTTAGTAAAACGAGTCTCTCAAAAAATATATATATGTATATGAAATGAATATCTCAGATATTATATTGCCCATTATTATAAACTTATACAGAATATACAAATAAAAGTGAATGTAAAATGATTTCAAGGGGCAAGCTACGAGAAATATTACGCATATTCCACCGGCTTTTTTTGTTGCATTAAACGGTTGCATTTAGTAATAGCCATTTAAGGTTGTGCTCACTCACCTTCAGGTCCACGCTATTTGTTAGTTTATCCATGCCTGTAAGCGGATAATCCTTGTAGCGTACGGTAGGGTTTTTCAGCGGAAAATGACTGACAACGTGGACATCATGTCCAGCCTCGGCCAAGGCTTGCATCAGTGGTTGGAAGAAGTGAAAGTGACTGACACCGGGATGTGGAAACAATCCGAGAACTTTCAGCGGTCGACCGGCTTCGACTCGAACTTGCAACAGCGCCAGCAGCAACGCTGGCAGCAGCAGCAGCGAACGCAGCAGCAACATTTTCTTTCCCCTTTGCGTATGTAAAATGTTTAAAATTAGCAAGAAAGCGAGAAAAACTGAGAAAATCAATCGAAACAATAAAAACAACAAAAAAAAAACACTTGTTGGATTTAAATTGCTATTTCTTAACCTTGGCTGCGGTTCACACTGCGCATGACCCAAAAACACAAAACTTATGTAAATTGACTAAAAAAAAGATATGCAAGCAATGCCCACAAATTGTACATTCAATTATTACTTACGAAAGCAGCGACGAGGTGGCTCTAATTGCTTTTGTGAATCGAGCAGGAATTTAATAAGTTCATCCAAAGTTGGAGTTCAATTAAATGCCACACACAATGCAGCAAAAGCGGTAGCACCCACTTGTTACTTGCTTAGCTATCGATGAGCGACTGGCGAACGCATTTCAGTCGTCGTTGCAGAGAGCCAAAAAAAGAACCGACTGCCAAAAAAAAAGCCGACTGGCCAAAAAAGAAAGAGCGCTAATCGATCGTGTATGTATTGGCGGTCTTTCTACTCACTCACTGCGTGCGTGCCTAAATGCTCTCTCTCTCTCTCTTTCACAACATTTTGCAATGTTCTCCCCAAACAGTCAGCGTGTACAGTCAGCGAACGCACTCTCAGTCACATACATATATATGTATATATATATTAACATAACATGTGCACAATATATGCAGGTTTTGGTATTGGATGTGACCCCAACCTCCGAAGCTGAGCTGCTTTTAAGAACTGGTAACCGGTAACCGGTTGCTTTGCACGAGACGCATAAAACGATCTGATTCGATCGTTCAACCAACTGTCTTCTTATCGGTTAAGTTTTTCACGCGTTATCAACTTGATTGCTGCTGTAAAACTTTACTGTCGCTGATAAACGTAGCTTACTGTACTTTGTTGCTTGGAGTGTTTGTTTAATGTACACACAAATTGTTGTCTCTCTGATGACTTTGTATGAGCCAGCTGTTTATTAGCATATTTATTTTGATAAGGAATATGTAAACAAGCTGGTAAGTTTATACACCGAACCATTTAATATTCAAGTAAGCTTTATAATCAATATTAATTTGTGATAATACTATATTGGGGATATTTCAATGACTTTTGTTCTTTATAGAATTTCAATTTAATTGCACATCAATAATCCGTAAATTTTGAATTTAAATAGTTTTAGCTTAAGTTACAGAAATAAGAATTATTTGTCTTAGTTAATATTTTATGTTGAATAATCCATGAAATTTGTAATTAATGGGATCAGTTTTTATTGTGAGGCGACTGAAAAACGAGTAATTTGTAAACGATTCTTTGTGTTTATTGCTGTTTTGGTTTGGATTGCGTTGTGGGTTTATAACACTTGCCCGAGACCCACTTGATTAGTTTACACAATTGCCAGACACTGCTCAGACCGAGCAATGCGATAAGCACACAGCAAACGTATACATCAATCGAGTTGTAGATAAACCAATTGATATGCCTTGCCACACTCTGCGACAGAGTGGCGCCCCTTGTTGCGATCACGTGTTCGATCCACCAGATAGCCAAATCCAGTGGCTCTTGTGGACGCTCTCGGAAGGCAATTGTCGCGTGTTTCATCTCAGTCGCAAAACTACAAACAGTTTGGCAATTAATATAGAAAAATATAGAACAATTTTGATGTAACTCAACCTCTCATTTAGTATGTGACGCAGTGCCTGCATCAGATGGGGCTCATCGAAATCGCCAAAGTTCACAATGACTCCGAAGCGTCGCTGGACAATGGCGCCGGCATTGAGAAACTGATCGCCATAGAAGGGTGTCACCAGCATGGGCACCCCACAATATACAGACTCGGTGGTGCCCAGTAGACCGCCATGCGAGATGAAGGCCTTCACTCGGGGATGGCACAGCAGATCCCGTTGTGGCAACCAATCAAACGTATACAGATTATTGGGCTTATTTTCCTCGGACAGCGTTTGATTTGTGCAGCGCATCACGAATGTGTAGCCAGGCAGCTGGGCGATGGTGTCGAAGAGTGCCTGCAGTTTGACTTTGGGTAGAGTTCTCGAATCCACCATGGAGCCCCAACTGATATAGATGATGCCCAAGTTAGAGGAATCGAAGATTTTTTCCAGGTGCTGAGTGATAAAGAAATACATAAAATATATTCGGTATGCCAAAAAATAGTAGACAAATAACAATTTATCTTTTCAAACTAAACAAAATAAATATTAAATAAAAACTAGCTAACCTGAGGCAGTGGTTTACTTGGTCCCACTTGCAGTCCGCCGACCTCAACCACATTGGCTGCATATGGTCGTGAACCCGTCAGCGAATGATGCTGATTTATAAGCATTAAGCTAGTGTTCTTGACAATATCATTAATCGGTGGCAGACCATAGCCAAAGCGTTCCGCAATCAGCTCATCAGTGGCAGGTTGGGTAATAAAGCTGCAAGGCAATTAGTAGAATATAATAATAAAATATAAATAAATATAAATATACCTGTAGAGCAGATTGACAGTGTGAAAGTGCAGAAAATTATTCATCCGTGCCACAAAGCTCATCTCATCCGTGTAGGGCAGAAAGTTCATGGGCGTAATTGGGTTAATAAATGGTGTTCCCATGCGTTTATAATGCCACGGCATAATGGCACAACTACTTAACGCTATGACGGGTGCATCTAGTAGATGTGCCACAGCTGCCAAGCAATCGTTGGAGAAGTGCTCCAGAATGATGACATCATATCGCCGCGGGGAGCTCAACAGTTGGGCGACATGCGGGGAGTTCAAGGCGACCTTGCAGCTGCGCAAACCCCAATCGTGCAGCATGAAAAATGTAGGCACCTTAAACGGTTGTCCCAGCAGCAGTGATTCTCGTTCAAAATTCTACAAAAAAAAATGCTTATAAGGAAATCAGACTTAAAGGTTATAATTAACAATAATATATAATAATATATTCCCAACATTTTTTTTCAGATTTAATTTTGTTTGGCAAGAACTGGTTTGGTAACTGGACAAGTAACTAATTAACCCACCCGTAAGTCCACAATGTCAGTCAACAGTGGCATACCCTCGAAGACGTAGTCAGTGTAATTTGCCACGGGCTGCTTAAGCGGAAAATAACTGTACATGCTTATATTGTGTCCTCGTTCGGCCAGTGCCACAAAAATTGGCCGAAAGAAATCGAAGTGACTCTTGCCGGGATGGCCGAACAGGCCAAGTATCTCAGCCGCCTCAGTTTCACGGAGATCGGTTGATAGGGCCAGACCCAACAGCAGCAGCACTAACCAATAATGCCTCATGTTGCAACTTCAAGGTTAAGAAATTTTTTGTACCTGCAGCGTACGTAAATGTAAAATGTAATCTTTATGTCAAGATCGTGACAAGTATTAATGTTGTAAGCTATTGTAACTTCCACTTGGTTGCAGTTTGCTGTTTGCAGTTTGCAACTTTTGCTGTTGTACAAGTTGTTGTTTCTTTTTCGACTTTCAAGTTGCTGCGTTGGGAGTTTAATTATAGCTTTAGGTATAACGTGTTCTAAAATATCATTAGGAACACACAAAGTCCATTGTCTTTACTGTAAAATAGTGATCGATATCTACTTGCGAAATTTAATAATTATATGCAGTTTTATAATAGTCGAAAAACCTATTAAGTATTTTGAGTTGCTCTTGATCTTTGTTCAGATAATAAAACATTTGCAATCATACTAAATAAGTGAGTGTAAGAGCAATTTAAAAAGTCCATTTTGATACAACTTTATTTAATTATATAATACTATATTATTATATACAGTTAAACGCTTATTTATTGACACCATTTATATTAATATTTCTTTTACTTTAATACTATTCGTAAATGTATGAATCAAAGACTTTTTGTAGCAAGAATATAGCTTTAGTATAAAGTTTGAAAGTCACTTAGAGTTTTCATGAACTATGATTTGAACTGATTAGTTATTTTTCTGGGCATATTGTTAAAAAAAAAAACTTGTTTATTACATTCTAGTAACGCTTATATAAAACTTCGATTAGTTATTCGATTTTTTGTGATAGATTTCAGAGTATTTTAGTATGGGAAAAAAACTGTTTGAATTTAATAAATATTTTTCTTGCTGCCTTTTCACGCATCGAAAAAACATTTTCAACTATGGCTTTTTTTTTGTATTAATTGAACGCTATTGAAATGTCACTTTGAGTTGCAACTGTTTGTAAAAACAACAATAAAGAGAAAGAGAGCGAGAGAGAGAGCTTTTGTGATTAGATCATTTAGTGAGCATTTCTCTATCTAATCTGTAAAACTGCGCCTAGCTCTGCTTTTGCCATATCTTTTCGAAGGCACACACGAAAAGCAACTAGTCACCGTCACGTTTCTAAATAAACTGAAATTTAAAAGTGTCTGCGAGTCGCAGATAAACGAAACCTGACTCAATGCTGAAGCAATCAGAACTGTGAAATTGAGACACAGAGACCCTGATTTGAGTCTCAGTAACGGCAAATCAGTTGTCGGTGCCTGCGGCAGAAGGGGCAGCCTACAAACTTACCACAAGCTCAGTCAAGTGTAATGCGGAAACATCATTTTCGATTACGTTCAACTTCAGATCAGTTCAAAAGTTTTTTGCGGATTATAAATTAACATATGTGCAAATTGCATTTGAGTTGAGGTTTGTGAGTCAAACGACTACAAACTTTAACTCGTGATTGACTTCTCCGCTGCGATCACAAGCAATATTTATAGATATTTAATATTCCATCGAATTATTCTCCATTGTTCTCTTTGGTTGTGTTTTTCTTAGAGCAGGTTTTCCATGCGTATATACAAATATATGTATATATATGTATATGTAAACACATGTCACTGCTGGGTGAATAGCTAAATATAACTAAATTATTTTATTTATATTTATATTATTAAGCAATTGCCAGACACTGCTCAGACTGAGCAATGCAATAAGCACATAGCAAACGTACAATACATCAATCGAGTTGTAGATAAACCAATTGATATGTGGTGGCGCCCCTCGATGCGATCACGTGCTCGATCCACCAGATAGCCAACATTTAGTGGCTCTTGTGGACGCTCTCGGAAGGCAATTGTCGCGTGTTTCATCTCAGTCGCAAAACTACAAACAGTTGTTTATTTTATTTAAATCTACAATTTTTTCGTCAGAGCAGGTTTATAATACATAAAGAAAATTTGTATAAGATTAAGATAATTTGATTAAGATATGATCATAAGATTAAATTAATATTTTAATTTTCCAGATTACGGGATTGCTCCACATTATTATTTTAACTTTATTTAAAGCTTTATTTTATTCATTTTAGTTCTGAATGAACATTTTTTCACTCTTCCACACTCAACATTTATCACTTGCTAATGTAAGCAGTATTTGGTAATATAGGTAAAATACTATAATAAAATTCCCATAAATACACGAGGAAGTACTGTATTTCAAGACATGTCCTTCGCACCATACCCCTCTGTTCAATTTTAGCTGCGCCCAAAACAAATGCTATAAATAAATGTTTTAATTTTCATTCCTGTCAAACGCACATTTCCTGTTGCATGCTTTCGGGCTGTCATTTAAAGCGTCTCAGCCTCTGATTAGAAACGCTCCTCACTGCCAGTGGAAAAGTCAAGTGAAGTCATATTTGTGGAAGTTAAGGGATTTCCCAGTTGAATGACAAAACTTTTTTTTTTTGGGGCTGGCTTATTAAAATTCACTTGGGTGATAATGTGCCGAAATGGTAATAATAACCATAACTTTTGAGATACTAATTTCAAAATGTTGCAAATAGCGCACACATAAAATATCAGACGGAATGCAGGCATTTTCATTTTCATTTTCTGGGCAAGTCGTTAAAATTAAGGAAATCATTTAATTAGGAAAAATTTTCACGTTCCGCTCAATTAGCGTGAGGCTGAGATTTTGGTAAACTTTTTCACTGGGTAACTGGACGCTGAACGGACGATGTCAACAGCTGCGGAGAGGTTGACTGACTGACGATGGGACGGGGTGGGTGAGCGGGTGTGCTGGGGGTGCGGAGTGCGGAGTGCGTTGTAATAGACGACGCCTGGCAGGAAGTGTTGTGTTAATATTTGCGACACGTCATTAAAGGTCCTTTAATTGTGAAAATTTTCAGAAGCCAAAAGTGAAATGCCAAATGCAGCAAAATTTACGACACATTATCAAATCAAGTGTGGATAAAGTTGGTGTCGGCAAAATTACGCACACACACACACACATTAACAGAAGTGTATTGGCAGCTGCGAGGAAGTTGAAATTGTTTAAGTGACACAAAAGCTGTCGAATTTGAAGAAGCACAAATGCTTTTGTACAATCCGCCAATTGGCCAAAAGTTTACTTTATTCTGATAAAAATACGGCTTAAAATGTTGTTTTTTCTTTGTATAAATATATATAAATCTTTAAAAATGTTGAATACTGTATTTTGAAATTTAAATGACTAGAAAATCAATTAAGTTTTGACCAGATTATGGTAGTTTAAAGTTTTGAAATGGCATTTGTAATAGGCTCATTCCATCTCTCCTTTCCTCGACAATATTATACCCTTTGTCAACCCATTTATATCGAAACGGGGTGTGAAAGCTAACTGAAATAAAATGCTACCTATCAATTTATTTTAACGTCACACGTTTTTTTTTTTCTTGTTGAAATTTTCATTCACTTTTGTTGTTTACCTAACGCAGAGTTTTCTATTTGCTGACAAACGGCAATAAAATGGAATTTTAAATGATAGAAATCGCATTGAAAAGTCGGAGATAAGCTGAAAGGGTTACAATCAACGCGTGTCCTGCGAAAAGTGGGCGGGACACTTTTAAGAATTTTCCAGCCATTTACATTTAATAGAACTGCATGAAAAGATAAGCGTGCGGGTGTGTTTTTGTATGTGTGTGTGTGTGTGTGTGTGTGTGTATGTGTGTGTGTGTGCGTGTGCGTGTGAATGTATGAAATTTATAACAAATCAATAAAATGACAATAGGTGCAAACTTTATCGACGGATTGAGAATGGGAGGGAGAGGCATTGGACGTCGTTCTATTGTGCAAAGAACATTTGCCATTGATACAGCTGATGGTAGATGGGAGATGGGAGTTGTACACATATATATATATATATACATACATACATACATTTGTATATAGACGAAGGAGCGGAGTGAGGTGAATGAAAGTTTTCGATAAACAATTTTTCGCACGGAAGTGCAATTTGAAGTGAATGCTTCGAATCCATGTCATGAAAATGCGGAAATTATACAGAGAAAGTTTCTAATACATTTGTTACCGCCAATCAATTCCTTTGTCGTAGATATTTCGTCCCTATTACTTAAGGGTGGCTCATATGTATCTAGGTGGCTAGCCAGAATGGCAGCTAGTCAACTTTTGCGTCAGATAGGCCAGTTACCATCTCAAGGAAGGGCCACTTATTTAGCTTGAGTTCTACTCAGTTCATACAATACTATCTACATACTTACTCAAGCATGTTCTGCGCTTAGTTTTCGCTCATATTTCAGTTTTGTTTAATATAACTGAATACTTTAACAATCTTAAAAGTAGACCAATTGCTGAAGTATTTCATTGGGATTGCCAAGATAAACAGAAATAAATTATTTTTACGACTGGGTGCTTGCCACAGAAATTATAGAAAAATATGTATTATTTCCTATCTAATGGAATTACTAATAAAACTATCTAATACGAATTACTATACATCTTGCAACACACACACACACACAAACACTCCTTTGTGGTAAGTCTCCGCCACTTTTAGCCAGGAAGCAACCACTGCTGGAGGCATTTACCTGCTGCAGGTGTCTTTAATTGACAGGCGCCAACTATTTATTGCCACGTCACGTGATCTATAAACGTGACGACGACCCCTGCCACCTGCCCCCACCTCTGCCACATTGCCCCTGCCCCTTGGGCCATATGGCGACTTGATTTACACGTAAGCTGCTTTTGACTTTGAGACATTTGGAGCAATTCAGACTTATAGCTCTTATGAGCAAGGTGTCCTGCTCGTCCTGCTATATCGATTAACAAAACAAACTTAAGTGTGTGTGTGACTCTGTGTGTGTGTGTGTGTATGTGTGTGTCTATATGTGTGTGTTTGGAGCTGTTCTAGCTATTTCCGTGACAGTAATCAATTTATTTTTGGCAGTGCGCCGATTGCGTTTCCGTTCCTTGGAGTACTCACTACTGTTTGCAACTGCCACAAGAAGAATAAGAAAAGGAAGAAGAAGAAGACGAAGACGAAGACGAACCTGTGTGTTTGCCACCTTCTTGTATCAAAGTTTTTTGGCCCAAGTTGCGATTTTCGTTTTGGCTTTTTTGGCGCAGCGATTTCCGCCAAAATGTCGATAAATCATGTAGTGAAAATGGCAGACAGCAACAAGAATTAAGATTGAAGCTCGGCTGGGGAATAGGTATAATGTTTGGGTCTGGGCATTGTTGTGGGGGCCACAGCCAGCGACAGATCCTTTCAGGATGTTGGCGTGATAGATAAGTTGACAGAAGGGTTATCGCCGCCGCTGTCTGTGCGAGCGAGCTTAATCAATCTTTCGCTCGCTCTTTTCAATTTGGCAATTAATTAATTTGGATCCAAAAGCCGACGGCACGTGACCATCGAGTTTGCACGCAAGCTGAGAGGATGAAATAGAGATAGAGAGAGACAGAGAGAGAGATAGAGCGAGTAAAAGAGAGAGAGTAAGAAGAGAGCCGGTTCTTTAAAGTCTCTGTTTGCTTCTTTTTGGCTTGGCTCGGGTCAAGTGCTGGAATTGATGTTTCGGTTATGATTTATCGTCCAATTCAATTGGCCAGTCATCGTATCAGTTACCCCCCTTGACTCTACATGCACTGCACACTGCTCTGCTTGCCTTACCACCAGGCTGACATCTAATGGCCAGCATATTGCACAACAGCAGCAGCAGCAGCAGCAGCCAGGCAAAAACCAAAAAACTAAATTGAACTTGGGCTGCGTTCAGTTGGGTGCCATCTAGAGATGGTTGTGTGACACGAAGCACGACACGATTTATTTGAGAAATTGCTGCTGAAATTGTAATTGTTATCGTGTTTTTTGTTGGTTTGCAGCATTTATATAATTGCCCATAAAACTAAACTTCTAATTTTTGAGAAAATTCGAATAGTTCTTGAGTTCAAAAAGTTACATTCTCACGGGTTGTATAACTTTAACTAGAAATCGATAAGCTTATATGATATTTTATACTCTATATATATTTAGTATATTTTCAATTATGTCTAGTCTAGTTCAATCTGGTCACGCATGATGCATAATTGAGTTGGAAAACAGGAAAATCGTCCATCTCTAAATGGGATGTTGTATGCCAGAGCATCGTCGTCGTCGTCGTCGTCATGCTGTCATAATCATCAGAAGACAGCATTCATCCATCGTTCGCCCGTTTTGCAACGCCCACATGCGCACCACTGCCCGGGTGGTGCAGACATCTCCATCGGCGTGGAACTCCAACCTCGGCAATCCTGATGTAATAACCATGTTTTCAGCTTGTAATGCGGCAGGGTAACAACAACAACAACAACACATTGCCAGACCTTAGGCATTTCATTGCGGGGGTTAAAGTCAAGTTCTGGCAATACACAGCAGGGTCGATAGGGTGGGGGGGAGGAGAAGGCAGGGCAGGGCAGGGTAGGGCAGGGCAATAGCTGGGCCAAGAGGGTCGCTGGGGTTCTAATAGAGGGTGCAGAGCAGGGCGCTACTTGTGAGTTGTGAATTGTTTTTGATGTTAAATGTGTGATAATTTAATGACTGTCGACGCCTGACGCATCGCAGGACTCCGGGTTCGCAGGACTCTGTCTCAAATTGAGCAATAGGTCGCAGCCATAAGAACGCAATCTTCACTTGAGCTGAGCGTTTAATTTACTGGAATAATAAAAACGTTTTTCGGGCATAAAATCCTGTGGCTGGCTATGATTTGTGCACTTTTCGATGTAACAGATTGTCTTTTAATGGTTATTCTCCCTCACTCTCTTTTCCCCCCCACTCTTTGGGCCATGACATAATTTGTGGGAGGGTTGCTTCCCATTCAATCCAAAGTGATACGATGATTAGCCACTTGGTGGCCTGTGGGAAAATACAGCAACTGATGTGATTGCTCATCATACATATATCTAATCAACAACTGTTTATAACTATCCAAATTAATTCGAATACGCAAGTCTTCTATATTTTGTGTATTCAAACAAACATTTACATTTAGTTGTTAGTATCTCAACCTACTTACAATTGCAAAAGACTTGTCGCCAAGCCACTTTTATTTTTGTTCAATATATAAACATTTGTTAAGTAAGGAACCAGTTAGATAACTAAGATCAAATAGGCATTTGCATACTCGACTTGTTTGTTTTTATATGCATAACAACAGTTTTTCTAAATAGCAATAATTTTCTTTAATATGGATGATGAGTACGTGAAAAACACGTTCTTCATCGATGTAGAACTTAAACATACAAATTATTATAATTTTTATTTATTTTTTTGTTTTTGAAAATTAAAAAGCAAAGCTATAAATATGTTAATTTGTTATGGAAAAATTATCGAGAGTTGTAGGAAGTGACCTCTCTATAGACACTTGACTGAATCTGAAGTCAAAACTTCACCAACCTTTCAGATACATAAAAACTAATAATATTTGGACTTGACTTACTCCAATACTCATTCAAAACTATGCTAAAAATGCTATAAGTTAACCTTGGAAATTTATTTATCGATAAAAACAAAACTGTTGATAGCAAGCCAAAACACAAGTGCATTTAGAACAAGAATCTCTTCGTTTAACCTTTAGTTTATCAAAACACCGCATGTTTATAAATAAAACAACACTTCTATTGTCACATTTTAATTATGTTTTGACAGAAGCGTGTTTTAGCTTTGTGACCGCGTTTTTCTTGTATGCCCAAGTGAAATTCAGCTTCGAAGCTAATCAAAATTTATGCAAATCCAAGTGAAGCTTTTTTGATTTTGCACTAATGTGAAAATATGGCATATGGAAAAAAACTGAAATTTAAATGTGCGAAATGTGGCAAAGACCACGCGCACAACCACATCCATAGACGGATACAAACACGTGGATATGTGGGTGTGTGTGTGTGATTTGCATATGATGACAAAGTGGGCGCAGACAGCCGCAAACAATGAAAAATGCTTTCAGCCGTCGGCTTTCTGGAACGGATGCTAATAATTTAATTTGGCAAAGAGGAAAATCCAAAAATGGCAACAGAAAAATAAAATCTGCGACACGTGACTGGGATTTATGAGTTAAAACAGGCGGTACAATTAATTTTGAATATATGGAATTATATATTTATTGCAAACATCATTATCAACACGAATATATTTATCAACATTATCATCATCATTATTATCCTCTTCAGTTTTAGCAAAAATGCAGGGCATTGAACTTTTCCCGATTGTTGTCGACCATATTGTTGTATTTGTAGGCCGAATTTTGGGAACTGTTGCCAGCTCCTGCCGTATTCACTGTCAACCTCGTATTGCGTAGGAAACTATCTGCGGGACTGCTGGAAACGGCATATTTGCCAAGCTGCAGTTCCGTATTTCGCATGGGACTCAAATGCTTGGATGCAATTGCCTTGCTGGATGTACGATTCTGGTGAACCATTTTGGGTAGTTTAAGATTTTCGTTGCAGTTACAGACAGTACAAGATTGGAGCGCTTTCACTCAAGGCACGTTGGATAAATGGTTTAGCACGGAGAATTCCAGACGGTTACCGCAGTTACTGGTGCGTGAACCCTTTTTAGAGGACAGATGCTTGGAAAGACTGCAAAAGGACCAAAAAATATCTCATTAGTATAATTCCAAAATTGTATAATTAATTCTTAATAAAACTCACCTTATATTATTTAGTAGCTTCGCTTTAGTGTCCGGTCTCAGCATTGACACATTTGGTTTGGCACGTTTAAAGAAATATTTTTGATTCTTATTTTTTTCAAAAGTTTGGTTCCAGCAGCGTTCGTTGCTGTTTTGATTGTGTGACTGAAAGCGACGAGTGCCTCCGGCTTTTATACCCCGGCGAACCGAACCGAATCCATTCGTGGACCGCTGCTGATCTAGTTGGGATCTTTGTCTCATCATGCGGTCACTGCGTGTTAGCCAAAATATGTTTATCGTGTTGACCACGAAACAAGTTACGGCCCAGACAGATATGCAAATCGCAACTCTCATCTTATGAAAACAACTGAAAAATATTGTCGTCGTAGACCTCATCACAATACTATGCGTCAATGCTGATCTCAAAAACCTGGTAAACATTCGAGAAAGCTACGTCATATTCAGAGAATTGCCAAATGCTTAACGATTTGTGGAAGAATAATACCATTTTGGAGTTCCCCCCAGCAGAAATGTTTTGTTAGAGTAAGAAACTGAACTGTACAAAGGATATTATGACTCATATATGTATGTTCAGCTAAATCTTTTCTTATAGTTGTGAGTGAGAACTTTATAAAGGATATTATTACTGAAAGGTGAAAAGTAACTGAAAAATAAGTAGATTTACAAACTATATTATTCCTAAAGGGTATTCAGCTACATCTTTTCATCTATTTACGAGTGTTCACATATCAAAAAGGTTTTGTGAAAGTAATATATTTGAAATAGTCTAAGAGATAGGAACTAAATCATATAAAACAATATTTTATTGTCATATGTTATATTCTTTATTTTAGATAGAACCACAACTTATATTCCATTAAAAAGTTTGGCCTCAGCTTCAGTTATCTTTGGGTGTGTTTCTTTTGACAGGAACCAGTTCCAAAATCGAGTATTTTGTTTGGGACATTTTTTAAAATAAATATAAATAAAGCCCATGAGTCTGGGTAAGTTTGCTTATATAAATAACATTTTTTCGTTTAATAGCTTTGCAAACATGTGGCATAAAATTAGCGCCGATTTGTTTCAAAACGAAAGTCAAGTGCAAAAATTGACATTTAAGTCAGCAAATCCTAGACGTTCAAAGTCCAATTTCTAAATTTTGGGGTTTTATTGCTGTCAATGGCCAATATTCGATTGAACCGAAAAATATGTTTGTTGTTTACGTACAAGCTATGTATTATATATATATATATATATATTTATTTAAAACATTTGATTAGAAGCAAAAAATATATATATTGCTTACAGGAAAGCTGGCAACGACTACATTATTTTGCTATTGATAATTGTTAGGTTAATCGTAAGAAAACAATATGTGGAAATGAATAGGAATTAACTATAATATTGTAATTTAATTGGACGGGTTTCAACGGAACTGATGTTATAGATGTATATGATAAATGATAAATGATCTGTGATGCTTTTGAAACTAGAATTTTGCTGGATTTGAAAAAGGCCCTGACTTTAAATAAGATTCAATTATTCTCTATCTAACAGATATAAATATTAATAACATTAATTAACTTCGTTTTCTTATAACAAAAAATCAATAATTTTATTGATGATTATATGATTTTTATTCTTGAATAAGATTTATTGAAGAGGGTTCATATTCTTGTAAAATATCATAGTATAAGTAAATGGAATATGATTTTTAAGACTTCATTTTTAAATTGTTACTTTTTTTTAATCAGTTATTGGTGAAGTTTGTGTTAATTACTCGTTCAAGGACTAGACTATGCCTAGACTTTTGCGTATTATCATGCTTTATATGACATTAATGGCATTGTTTATGTATACTATTATCGCAGATCGGTTAACTATATAACCAAGAACAATAACAACAACCAATTAAAATACATATACACTAAACGGGCAACAGGCTTTTAAGCTGATTTCTTTACCAAATTGGCTGATGCAATGCAACGGGCACTTTTCATCAGCCAGGCTCATGCATAATATGGCGATATATAGTCGTATAGACAGAGACAGAGAACACATAAAGAGAGGGAGAGGGAGATAGCATTCGAAATACATATTCATATTATTCAAGCGATGGCCACATGACATCAACGGAATGGAAATGCAATATTTATCACTGCAATCAGACAAACCAACAAACAAATAGTTAAAAACAAATTAAAGAAAATAAAAGACAACTCATTTAGGCAGAGTTCCTCATACATTTAACCGAAATAAACCCTAGAGCCGGCCGGTGGCAAAAGTTGACGCATTTGCCCACAAACTACATACGTGAGTCTCAGCAGGTTCAGACAGCAGTCAAACGCCAAAACCTGGCGGGGCAACAGCGGTCACTTTGCGTGTGTTTTTAAAAAATATGTATATATATATATATATGTATATGTATCTTTTTCTATGCACCCTGCCGCCATGATATGTGTAAGATTGGGTAGCTTGTCGTTTTGTACAGCTTTGAAGCAGATCAAATGAACTCTGAATAATATTTTTCTTGTGTATTTTCTAAATCAACCCCATCTAAATAAGTAGCAACTTTTTGTAAGTCTCAACATTTATTTGACATGTTTACAGGATAATTCTCCGTTGAGCATGCTCTATGAGAGCACTCTTACTTGTCTGGCTGTGGTTGTTTCTGTTTTTGTTGTTGGTTTTGAGTTGCGCTTTTTGCAAATGTGACAAACCAGTTAGTTGGCAACTCTAATTTGCATTGCCGACGTCGTTCGACGAGTTTTTGTCTGCGTCTGACTCTGAGTCTCAGTCTGAGGTCTGGGCTTTGAGGTCTGGGTCTGGTTCGCGTGGTCTGTTTACGGGGGGTCGGGGTTGGAGCAGGGTGTCGGTGTCGCTGGCGGGGCTTTCTTCGTTGCTCATGCGACACGTTGCCTTGCAGCTGCTGCTGTTCGCTGTTGCTGCGTTGCTGCTGCTGTTGCTGTTGCTGTTGCTGCTGCTGTTCGCTGCTCGCTGCTGTTTGGAGCTGTGCTTAGAACCGTAACGCAGTACAGCGAACTCGGCAATTTGTTGCTGGCGTTATTTAAGCCAGATGCAGGCATCGTTAGAGGTTTAGTAGAAAGTTCACAACAGAGGCGAACGCTGCAGTTTGATCCAATATTTGGAGCACATTGCATCTGTCGAGTTTCCCTGCAACAAATTTATTTTATTCCTTCTCCAATGTGCAAATTGCAAAAGTTTTGTGTCAATGCCAAAAATTAACAAAACGAGTTCGAAGGAAAAATTACTCAAGCAATTGGGGTAAGTCAGGTGTACAAAACTATGGTGGCAACAAATTATAACAAATTAAACTTATGCCTATTGACAGATTGGACAACAGTCTATCGTCCAGCAAGGGATCTCGCACAGGCAACTCGGCTAACAATAAAGAACTGAAAGTGTTAACGCTACTGCAAACTGTGCCGTGAACTCGTCCTTCAACTCAGTAACAAATTGAAACTGCGCAGCTCAGCTTCATTGAAAATTTGAATTGAAATTGGTCAAAAAAATCGCTAGAAATTGATCCCAACAACCCAAAAACAGCTAGCAAACAAAGCAACAGCAAAATGGTCTACACGGAACGCAACGACAAGTGTCTGGCGAACAGTAAGGACAAAGTCGGCCAAAACCCGTACTCGAGTGAGGAGAAGAAGCCCCAATCCAGTCCCAGCTCCTCGGGTGCCTGGAGCAGCCAGGCATCGAATGCCGAGAAATGGAAGTACAATAATATGGTCAAGGATAATCGTGATAAGTTCAATGGCATGCACTTCTCCTAAGTCCCTCAAACTGGACACACTGATTGGAGTTGAGCTCTAATATGTGGGGTCTTTGGCTAATTTAAACATTGCCTGCAACGTGATTGACTTTTATTATTATTGTTATTTCTCTGGGTTCCATGGATTAATTATATTGCCTAGTTGTAAGTCTGTTAATAATTGGATATAATATACATTATGTATTGTACATTTTGAAATTATAAATTATCTTACAAAATTTACTGAAAAAGATGCGCTAACAAAACAAAGAAAAAATATATTGATAAAAACCAATGCGTAATTTATGAAACGCTGACAGCGTTTGCAATTGTTAATTTTAAGGTAAGTTTGAGTGTATAGGAATTAATTGAAAGTTAACTTCAAATATTCACAATTCTATGCCATATTACGACTGTTGTAATCAAAGAGTGAATAGCTAGAAACAGACTGCACAGCCTAATAGGTCCCAAAAGGATATACATTTCATGTTAAAATGATGTGAATTAATATCAAATCTCCCCAAAACACAAGAGTCAAATGGAACTTTTAAATATGCTGTAAATTGAATACTCATTGAAAGCAATTCCATCTAATCCACATAACTATTAACTTCCTCTAATAAATGATATACGCATTTGTTTTTATTCGAATCCATATAGCTATTAGCCTGCTCCAACAAATTGTATACCCATTGACCTTGCTACTTGACTTTTAGCATATCGCATCTATTACTGTCTGTAAAACATTTGCATCCACAGTGGCTATTATCGTGATTAGCTTAAGTTATGCACGGCCAGCCGTTGATATCACCCCTCTAAAATATATACGTATATATACATTCACTGAAACCTTGAGCAAAGTGCACTTAATACACATTAGCTACGCTTATTTGACAGACTCCCCCCAGCACTGCAATATTGATGATGCCTGAACGTCTTTACAAACAGCACTCCCCCGTTGCCACCCTCTTCGGTGCTCATCACCCTCGACAGCTGGCGAACGGGAGCGTGTCGTGTGTGTCGGGGAAACAAGTGTATCTCTGGCTGCTCAGGCATATTACCGCAAGGACGACGTTCGTTTTTGGGTCCGGTAGTCGTTACGGCGGAATGGTCGACAGCATTTTACGCATCGGATGGATTAGAAGTGCGAAATTTTTGATAATTTTTCAATTGTATTGTTTGCCACCACTGGGCAGATACGATACGATACGATGAGGAGAGAGTCCTGGGAGTGAGCTGCGGTCGTCCTTTTGACACACGACTGCACAGGACACAGGACCCACAAGCACGTGGCGTTGGCTATTAGAAGCGATTTCCTTCACGCCGCTAATACAACTTTTTCCATAGACACGTTTACAATTTTTGATATTTGAGTGTGTTGGAAATGTTGTGGCGTTTTCCGGATTTTCCCGGGGGCAGACTGTCACCGTGCGAAACACTTGACGTGTTTGGCGTCTAATTGAAGCGCTTTATTTTCTATTTATTTCCTATTTGCTTCTTTTTTTTTTTGTCGCACTCTTCGGCTATAATTACTTTGTTTCCAAGCGCCGGGCGGTCGCTTCTTAGTCCCGGTCTGGGATGTCAGAGGACATTTCCTTTTTTTGGCATCTTCGTCACATTGCAATTAAAAGCGCACAGCAGGTGTGCCCGCAAGGACCTTTGAACTTTGCGCTATAAAATGTCTATGTGTCACTTGCAAGGATTCCACAACCGGATGATGACAACGACCAGCGACTGAAGCCCGTCAGGAGTTGGACTCCTGTGATTCCTGATGCTAGCCAAGCGAAATGCAATTATCAACTCATTATCATAGAGAAACCCGCAAAAATTCTATTCTTTTTTTGCTCAGAACACTACGTAGACAACACGTGCCCTCAGGTTAGGCCGGTCAAGCAAGTTTCTCCGGAAAATGCTGGCATATCATGCTCTTTCTCTGCCTCTCCTTCTATCTCTTTCTGTAAGCCAATATTATCTAGTGCTGGCTTCCGTTGACAGACAACCCTTATTGTGCGGGCCCACGATAACATCTTCCGACAACATGTCACATGCCACATGCCACGTGGTGGAAAATTATGAATAATTTCCGTAACTTCTGTCGCAACGTCGGCAAAATCGCAGCTTGCAATGAATAAGTGACACCATGTGACCATGCCTACCGTTTGAGAGAACGCCCCCTTGCCATAGCCGTTGCCAGACTGAGCCGCGTGTCTGAAGTGTGGGGCGTGCCGTCAGATACAACTTCCGACATCCGACAGATGTTTTCTCTGTGCGGTGTGCGGGAATGCAAAAGGCGACCCCATCTCCCCCCTCACTCGAATCTGGTTCTACCTTTGATACTGGCTTGTGTCTGATTTTTTGGGAGTTGCGCCCGGTTGCAGAACAATTGACACGGCAATTTCTCGGCGCGGATGTCACTCCGCCAGCAGCCTGTGAAATTGTATTCGAAATTGTGAGTGTTAATGTGAATGTGAATGTACTCGAACATAATGTACGGGCGTTCACATTTGCCCAAAAGGTGTTTGGCGGGTTCTCGTTATTGTTGATCATGTTCTTGTTGTTGTTGTTGTTGTGCGTCTCTTATGGTAATGTTTTTTTTCTTTTTTTTTCATTGGTGGCAAGGTGTGACGCAGTTGCCAAACACGTCAAACAGACATAATCCAAAATTGATTCGCCCCCTTCTCTGGCTACTGTGCAATGTGCAATTTGTGCGTTATTTGATGACAACAACAATTGGAATCGTTAAAGTGATCAATGTGCCATGTCATCCATTCAATGGTGGCAAAAGGTGCAATTGAGTCATTCAACTCGAGTTAAAGGATATACTTCGCAAACATGCCGGAGAGATTACCCATATTCCAAGCAGAATGAATAATTTAAAGGGGAATACAAGATTCAAATTTAAAAGTTAGTAAATCAGTATTATTATAAATTAGCTTTAAGCAGTTTTGGAAAAACTAATAAAGAACTTGCCTGTTGAATTTCTACTTAATGTGAATCGAGTCAGTTCCATTTGTATTTAATTTCAATTTGTGTTTAAATAGATTTCTAGTTAAATTTAATTAGATCAATTCTTGGGCAGATTAATTTTATGGCACGAAATTAGCATGACAAGTATAGCTAAAGATAATCTATACTGTTGATAAAAATGAATATTTGATATCATATCATATTGCATATCTGACATTTCTGGTCTGCAGATCAAAGTTATGCAAATGCCATATAATTTACAAAATATGCCAAACACGAGGCCACACAAAGGGCGGCAATTACATGAAAATCTCAATTCAATTCAATTGAGAGTTGTGAGTTGAGAATTGAGACGCACGGCTGTCAATTGAGAATTGAGAATCAACCACCGTTAAATATAAATTTATAAAAACACAATATTCCGCCGCCATTTCTCATTTCTCATGCTGATCGACAGCTGTCACGAATGACAATTGGATTGTCGAGCAATGAAGTCCTTGCCCCTTGGTCCCCTGCACGTTCCCGTTCCCGATCCTGTTCCCGCTTCTGTTTGCCTTCCCTGGCAAATTCATATAAAATATGCAATAAAAATCTGAAACCACAGCATTTGTATTTATAGAGTTCCTAAAATGCTCGAGGTCATCAAAATCAAAACAAGAAAAACAACGAATAACAACAACAATAACAACGAAACCGATATAAAAATTGAAACAATGGCAATGCTCTCTACTTTTCCCAACTCTACTCTCTGGGACGAGAGTGGTTCGTTGCGAGTCTGGAGGATACTTGAGTAAAACGCAGAAACGTGGTTGCGTTTTTGTGGGTTGTCATTTATGGGGGAGTGGGGAACACCATTACAAGACTGAGCTTACCCATGCGAGGCACTGCCAGGGAGCTACCCTGCACTTCATGGATCATCTGAGCTGCCCAATAAAAAAGTATAAATAATTTAATAATTTAAAATTACTAATGAATTTAAGAGATAGTATGAGCTGGAAAGAGTTAAATTTGTTGAAGAGAATGTTTTATTTATGTAATAATAATAATAATTCAAATTATCTTTCTGATTATAATTTATAATAATATGCAAACTGAAATATTACAACTGTCTCAAACTGATCAAGTTCTTACTAAAGATTATACTCTCCAGGAATTTATAATAAGTTAAACAGCTAAAATACGAAAACAACATTCAACAGTAGGGCATCACAGTAGTCGGTGTAATCCAGGCAATTCCTTGTTTGCCTGCATTACAAATTTGTCTATGTTTTCATACAGAAAGCGTATGTAAAAATCTTTAAATGCAATTATGGTTCATGTGCAGCTCTCACAAAAAACGCCAATGATATGTTGGTAAGTGTCTTTTGTTGTGGCTTAAATACACACACACACACACAGACGCACACACACAGAAGCTACACACATTTAGACATAATCAGGGCGGTTATTTTCTGGTGCGCGCCAAAAAAAGAGGAAAAAAAGCTGCAGCGAAGCTACCATTTGTTGCACGTCCTTCGGGTGGTTCCCAAGTAGATGAATGGGCGAATATATATATATAAATACACACATATATATATATATACATACATACATATATATATATATATAAGTATATATACAATCGCATCATTTTGAGCAATTAAGTGTGTGTATTATCCGCATAACACCGCCACTGTCAGAGGGCCTTGAAACACTCACAGACATACACACATACACACACACACACACACACACACAGATACACACACTCACATCAAAACAGACGCAGGACGGGGGCCTCCCCCTTCCCACTGCCTCCTCCTTCTCCTGCTGCCCTGCTTGTCTCCCTCTCAGGTTATGGCCCGGTGCGTATTCGCTTATAGGTCCTGCCACCGGAAGTACATTGAATATGAGTGCGTATGCATGTGTTTGTGTATATATATATATATATATGTGTGTGTGTGTGTGTGTATTTGTATGCTTTTATGTGCAAATTGTGCATTTATGTCGACAATGCCCGCAACGACTCAACTTGACGCTTTGCGAGGTTAGCACACGATTCAGTTTGAGAATCGTCATCAGCGTCAGCATCAGCATCAGCTGCAGCCTCTGCTTCAGCTTCAGCTTCTGCTTCAATCTGTGGCAGAAGCCGCAGCAGGACAACAACAAAGCGGCTGGCTACATGTGAGTGCATAAAGCAGCGCAACAGAGAGTGAATGTAATGATGATCAGCAGCAGCTTCCTTGTTGCTCTTATACTCTAGCAGAGGGTATTACAGTTGTGGCACGTACTGTGTAACGCCAGAAAGGGGACAACTCAAAACTGATCAACTTTGTTTGTTTTTCGATTCGATATCTTCTTTATTCCTGACAATTGCTAACTTAATACAGCTCTATACACTTCAACAAAATGAATAATCGTTCTCTGTTTAATATATCATATAGATAAAGCTTGCATTTCTACTTTTAGAAATATTTTCAATTGTTAACAAGTCTATTTAAAATGTTGTGAATTTTGATTTTACATTTGGAAATTATTTGTAAATACAAGAATTCTATAATTTCCACTTTTATACAATATAGGACTATTTATTTTTCCTGAAATATCGATCAATCTATTCATTTTAGCAAAATAGATAATTATTCCCGGATTATTATATTATATAGACTCCATAGAAAGAATCAGTCAAAGTTCTTAAATATCACCAGTTTTTATAATGGTTAATTAGTAATTAGGGCATTAAGTGTTCTACATTTGAAACCCAGCTCTACTGTCTTCTGCCGCTGTATTTACTGTTGTGGCTTCTGATCCGCAATCAGCATCGCAGTTGCAGTTGCAGTGGCAGTTGCAGTCGTCGTCGACGTTGACGTCGTTGTCGCTGTTGCAGGCACAGTTGAGGTTCA